AGCTCACCAAGGCCAGCTGGACTGGGACTGAACGAGCATGGGATCAAACCGGATTCTCTGAATGTGGCTGACATGGGGGCTGACTGAGAAGCCATTGACAATGGCACTGGGTCTTGTTTCGTCTGCATGGACTGGCTTTTTGGGATCCTGGCCTGTTTGGATGCTCACCTTCCTGGACCTGGAGGGAGGGGGGAGGAACTTGGATTTCCCACAGGGCAGGAAACCCTGACTGCTCTTGGGAATGGTGAGGGAGGAGGAGAGGGAGTGGGGGGAGCGGGAGGGTATTGGGAGGAGGGGAGGAAGTGGAAATTCTTTAAATAAATAAATAAGGAAAAAATATAAAATATGATATCATTTATGTAAAAACTATTACAGAAATTCAGTAGACCTACCAAGGTTTTGAAATTGTGGTCCAATAAATGACACACATTATATAACCCAAATGCATTGCATATTACTAGGATTTAATCATTAGATAAAATATGAAGTCTAAAGATTATTAACAAATACTAAGAATGCAGCCCACACTAAAGAATACAAAAACTCTATCACTGCTTAGTAATATAGCAACTCAGACAACATGAAAATCCTTTTACTATAATCACCTAGATACACTGAGTAAAATCTCCCGTGATTATTTTAAATGTACAACTAGGTTCACAAATAATAAAAGCCAACCCCTAGGTGCCAGAAACAAAAGAGAAAAAGAAAAAGCAGAAGAGTGAATGCTTGAGATAACAGGGGGTATTTGTCTTCAGAACCTAGCGGTTTGGGATTTAATACCCCTACATAGGCACAGGAAATGAGGCTTTGGGCTCTAGGGGGTAGAGAATTAAACTGAGAACTTCACATAAAGCCAAGACCCTCAAAGAACTATTTTATTTATGAAAAGATTTAAAAACAAGAGAGACCACACAGGGCAACTGGGCTTTGGGTGGGAGAATAATAAAAGCTCTCTGAGAATTTAAAACCACAGGACCACAATTACTACTGCTTTCACTCTACCCACATAATTCAGAGACTTTAGACTAAAAAGTTATGTAAGAACAGTTCCTTAAACACCGATACCCCTGGGAACAAGTCGAACAAAGACATGGAAGCAAAGCTCCCACATCCCAAATATCATGGACTATTCCAGACATATGAAGATGTGGAGCAACAGCAACAACACTCTACTAATGATGAGTTCATGATGAAAGTTTACAAAGCCCACAAGTGAACAACCCAGACTGATTAAGTGTATGCACATAGTACAAACACATAACTAGGTTCTCCCCCACAAACACACACAGATCATACAAGAAACACATGAAGCAACTGGAGAATAGAAAAAAAATCAAACTCTAAAGATAGAACTCTGTGTGGAGGAAAGATAAAAAGAGGAAGAAGAAGAATACCAAAACTTATATGGTATATCTTGGCATAAATAATTTTTATTTATTTTTTGAGATTATAATTACATCATTTTCTCCCTCTTCCCTTTCTTCTCTCCAAAGCTTCCCCTGTACCCCTACTCAGCATAAATCACTTTTAAAGATTATGAAATGATATAAAACTCTTTGTTAAAATAGGTGAGCGAATGCTAAAATGATTGGAAACTATGTCATGTTTCTGAGCAGGAAGAATCACTACAGGAAAGGCTGACTTGTAAATGATGACATGCCTATCAAAACCCACTAGCCAATTCTGCAAACTTCACAAGCTGATTTCAGTGTGCGTACAGGAGGCAAAAGGACCAAAAAGAGTCAAAGAAGCCAGGTGACAGCAAGGTTCATGCTACCAGAAAAGCAAGAAAAGTATAAACCTATAGTATTTGATACATGAAGCATTTGCAAGAAAATAGCTCCAGAGATCAGTGGGTGGTAACAGTGAGCCTAAAATGAGAGCCACATGCATGAAGGATCTTGCTATATGATGGAAGTGTCATTATAAATGAGCCGAAACAAATATATTATTCAATAAATAGCCCTAAATCATTTGCAGTGAATTAAGCAGATAAATGACATTGAAGAGCAAAATTTAAAAAAAAAGAAGAAAAAGAAAATCTTCAGAGAACCCACTTGATTCTCATTATTCATAGTATTTTGGATCTCTATATATTCTAAATGAACACTGGATTAGCAAATACTGAAAGAATGCTCCTTGGGGAAATAAAGAGTTGAGTTCCTGCCCGGCTTTGGTCACCATTTCTATCAACTGATCAATATATGCCTTGTTTTACAAGTATTTTTCTTTAAATATAATCCATTTACTGTGTATTGTCGATTCGTTAACACTAAACTCAGGCCAACAGTACTATCACGCATGCTTGAATTATTTTTACTTAGCACATGTATCTTCTCCATAAGGTACCTCACACTTTTGTTACTCTTAGGGAATACTAGGCAACACTTCACCACTGAGCTTGGGAGCCATTTTCAATAGCAAACTCTTTAGGAAAAGACACACACACACATATGAAAAGCGTGGCGCATAAGTTTACCTCTGGAAGAACACTTGGTTACAATCTGGAAACTTAAACAAAAAGGCAGAGTGTCACCATGTTTGACCTCAACTGGAACCATGCATTTGACCCATATTTTCCACACCACCTTCACACATGACAATTGCACATATTAATTTGGAATTATGAATAAGTTTTAGTGAGCAGGGAAATTTGTAAATATGAGATCTGAGCATGAGGATCAACTACACCTCTATGGTTTTTCTAGGGGTCTAGAAAGGAACTCTTGAGAATAAAAAACCAAATGATATTCACAAAATAACCAAAAGCACTCATCAGAGATGGCCTGAGGTTTTAAACATTTTGCAAACCCTACATTATCAGTCAGATTTAATATGAGATAAGAGGAAAGGAGTTTTGTACACATGAGTTAAAGACCTCGGGTTTGTTTTTACAGCTGCTGTCCAGCCCATTATGAAGGGCACCATTCCCTAGACAGAGGACTCTGAGCTATATGAGACAGGAGTTGGCGACATGAAAGCCAGTAGATGCAAGTAAGGGTGTGTATATTCTCCCTTCCTCTTGACTGTGATGTGATGTGACTAGCTGATTGATTTTCTGCCTTGACTTCCCTGAAAAGATGAACTGGGAGCTGAAATTGTAAGTCAAATAAACCCTTTCCTCCTCTGTGATGCTTTCAGTCAGTATTTTATCTCAGCAACTGAAAGGTTTTCATGTAGCAGCTATTTTTGTTGCTGTTGTTTTTGTTGTTAAGGTTTAGCATCAAGTTACAGAATTCTTGTGAATTTCTTTTTAAAGTTGTATGGTAAATCTATAGTTATATTCTTTTTTAGTCGTCATTAATATGGCTAGCTTTTTACTTTTTTTTTTCCAGCTCAAACCTAGGGCCGTGTGCATATTTACTTTGAATTTAATTGCATTAGAATCAGAGAATGTAATATGTTCCTCATTCATTGGTAATTGTACTCTGTTTTGTGGTCAGTTTTTATAAATGTTCCAGTGTGCTTAAAATATGTATTCTTTAGAGTTGATCTTAAAAATTACATTTCAAAAGTTGATTTGAGTTCCAGAAATGTTTGCACATGCACATATCTACATAGTATATACACATGCATTCATATATATACTCACATGATGCATCAGGTTAGTTAGACTGTCCAATATTTCATACTTTTATATTTCCATAACAAGTTATTGACAAAGATATCACAAAGCTTTCTCTATCAATTTAACCTAGCACTTGTGCAAATTTCTGTATTAATTTTAAAGCTTTGTGATTAGATGCATATACATCCAAATTATTTTTTCTTCATGGTGAATTATTCCCTTTGCATTTAGTAATAATCTTTTTTAAAATTCGCAATAATATGCTTTGTATTGTGAACTGAAGTTCCCAGGGGGGGAGGGAAAAAGAGCTGCACCTGTGTTAAAGATTATACAAGGTTAAATGACTTAGTTTTGTGATTACGGAAAATTAAAATATCTCAGCCCAAGTCAAATTATTTTGGGTTATTTTCAGTCCCCTTAAAAGGCATTCACTGCCCATCTCTAAGTTTGACAGAATGCCATGGATCCAAGAGAGAGAAGGGAGGGGACATACATGGGAGGGGTTATAGGGAGGAAAGGAAAAGGGAAACAGGATGTAATTTTATTTTAATTTAAAAAATTAATGAAACAAACATTTTATATTTAGAAAGCCACTAGCTTCCATCAATCCACTCTAACAGTATCTCCTATACTGTGTGAGGCCTATGATGGAGATTTCCACACACTGCTATAACCCTCATAACTAATGTTTCTACCAATGTATTAATGTGTTTTGATGTATGCTTTTCTTTTTTTCTGTCACTGTAAAGATTTATAAAAAACTGTTGCCATGTTAGAACATAGAATTAGAGGTAATATAGGTTTCTGGGCATGATCATACATATTTAAATAAATTATCACTTGTTCTTTGAGGTGAAAATTACATTTTTACAACAGCATTAATACCTATCTTGTCTGATGCTAGAATTACCATGATTTCCATTATACTGTTTTCCTGCCTCTGGGAGTTTCTTTTGCTTTTCTACAAGTTTAGATATTCATTTCAAAAGATATCTAATACAATTCATCCACTATTTCTGATATATGTAATAGGCAGACTTGTATGATCTGGATTGTTTCTCGATCTTGAAGTTCTAAAGTTGTAAAAATAATGAAATATAGCCTAATCTTCAGACAGAAATTGTCTGATATGCAATCAGAACAGCAGAGTAAGTTGTAGTATATATAACCAAGACCCTGTCTTATCAGTCAGGTTGTCAAACCATATTAATTATAGGGCTCAATCTGAATATACTTATTTTATAATTCCAAAAAACATAAAAAATAAGGGCTTTGTTGTTGCTCTCACAGTCTCTCTCAAGATTCTGATATGACCCTCATCCCTGAAGGTGGTCCCCCACCAACTGAAGATTGCTGGTTATGGAATCTCCAAAAATGACGACAGTTTGATGATGGAAATGCTTTATTTCAATAATAGTTTAGCATTCTTCTTATCCTCAGCCACTCATAGATATTATACCTAATAGTTTTCTCTCCTGCTCTATGGGTTCCTTCCAGTATGCTTCCAAATTGCTCCAGTCTCCTGGTTAGGTATGATCTAAAACCATCAGGCTCAAGTCCAGTTCATCACAGGCAGTGTATGGAAGTAAATCCCATCAACAGATTTTTTAACCTAGTCTTACCAATAGTGGTTTGCTAAGGACTGCAACACACACACTGTGCATCTGCTTGTTCTATGAATTAGAGTCTACTTTGTCCAATTACTATGGATTTCAAAGGTCCTGGTTAAGACTAGAAGTGGGGGTCAGCTGTTTACAAAGAGGCTGGGAGAAGGTTTTGTTCATCTTAAGCAAGATGGCTCTACGGCTTCTCATATTTATGCACTACATAGAAAGCCTTCAGGAATTCATTAAAGTCTATGTTTCCATCTTTGTTGAAGTCCACTATGTTGGCAAGCTCATCAATTTGGGAATCATCAATTTGAACATTGTAGTGAGTGTTGAAAAGTTTCCACATAGTCCGGAATTCATCCAAGGAGATTAGACCTAAAAGAAAACAGGAGAAAGTTAAGTGCTAATGTTAAGACCCCCCCACCCCAAAGAATAGGGGAGAAGGCACACTGATTGAATAGTCCCAATTACAAACTCACTAACATGCCTGAGAATCAAAATACTGAAGGAAACAGAAGAATAAGATCATATGTGTAAGAAACAGTATGAACTACTGCAACTACCAAGGATCCTGGGACTATGTTAATGCCAAAAAGAGTAACAGGTGAAGAAACAGTGAGTGGATATGGACAAAAGTGATGTAGAAATTCTATGAACTAAAATCTAAGGATACAAGATACAGAGAAGGATGGCAGAAGAGATACCAACATCAAAGCAGGAGAAAGTACCCCTAGAGTCAATATGATGATGGTGGTGGTGGTGGTGGTGGTGGTGGTGGTGGTGGTGTATGTGTGTGTGTGTGTGTGTGTGTGTGTGTGTGTGCGTGCACGTGCGCGTACATGTGCAGCCTAAGCCATACTGCACATGTTGAGGTCAGAGGACAATTTGAGAGTCAGTTCCCCCTTCTACCCTTCTACCATGTGAGTCTCAGGGATTGAATTCAGATCATCACAGCCAGCAGTGAGCACCTTTGCCTGATGGGTCATCTCATAAACCCACGGGTACTGTTTTTATGTGCAATAATCTATTTTCCTGGATCATTACTGATACTTTTTCACACTCAGATGTCTCTGCACAGAGGTTAGGGACAGGGTGCTGAGGATGGTACCCAGAGCCTCATACACAACAGGCAATCTCTCTACAACTGAGCTATATTCCCAGCCCTGCATTTTTAAGCTATAAAGTCAATAATCATATATTAAAGCTAAATCAAAACTGAGTTTTCACTCCCTTAAACAAAATTAGCACTCTTTTCCTATTAACTACGATACTAAAGCAGAAAGTGAATTATCTTTAATTGATTCTCAGTCTTGTGGCTACGATCAAGGGCAAGTGAGCTATCTTTCTCATCCCTGCTGGTGGTTTATATAAAGGAGTTATTCAGTGAGACCAATGACTATAAAGGCTTCTGGAGAACTCTATGGTCTCCAGTACAGAATTTGTCACCAAACTAAATGACCAATAATATTAAATACTCGTTTATTTGTTTCTTTACATTTCCTCAAGTTGGATGAAGAATGAAATCAATGAAAACTGAGTCCTGAACTCAAAGAAACAAACTAGCCCTTGCTTTGTATTACTCCTGAACCAATCGATGTTCAGTATTACTCCTGAGCCAATCAACATTCACTTACCTGAGTGATCCGTGTCGATGACATTAAATATGATTTTCAGGTCAGATCGGTATCTGTACAGCATTTCAAGTAGAGTAGATTTCATCTAGAATAAAGATTTTTTTTAAGTGTTAGAATACTTGGGATTAATTTCATTTTACATTCCAATCACAGTTCTCCCTCCCAATGTACCCCTCATCCACTCCTCCCAAAGGGTTAGGCCTCCCATGGGGAGTCAACAAAGTCTGTCACATTTAAGTTGAGGCAGGACCAAGCTCCTCCCCTCTGCATTGAGGCTGACCAAGGCATCCCTCCATAGGGAATGGGGTCCAAAAAGCCAGCTCATGCACCAGGGATAGATCCTGGTCCCACTGACAGGGACCCCTAAGATAAACCAAGCTACACAACTGTCTCCCACATGCAGAGGGCCTAGTTCAGTCCTATGGAGGTTCCATGGATGTAAGTCATGAGTTCCCACAAGCTTGAATAAGAAAAAAGACTACCAAATGCAAGCAAGCTGTACGTTGTAGAAAGCTTGGCAGAAATACCTTCATTATTGTAAATAGCTGAGCTGTGTTAGAGTTAAGTCCTTTCCTTTTAATTTAGATAAAAAGAAAGAAATATTACAGGACATTTGATCACACTGTGAACCCGGAGATTGCATTGTTTGCCGGACAAACCTGTTTCTAGTTGTGGTGTCCCTCTGCCCTAGCACACACCTTTCATCCAAGAGCCTCCTTCATGAATATAGTAAACAGGATTAAATAAAGTCAACCATAGGTCAAGAGGCAGAGCAAGTAACCAGTTCACAGGAAGTAAACAGAAAAAAAAACCAATAAAGAATACAGGGGAGTGAGGAGGATGAACAGAGAGATGCACAGGAAATAGAGGGGAGGGATATTTTAGTTTGAGGAGGCTTGTTGGAGACAGAGTAGTCGGCTGGGTGCTTTCTCTGTCTCTTTGAGTTAACAGGTTTTCACCCCCCCCCAAAAAAAACAATACAGAATAATTTCAGCAAATGCAACAGATACAAAATAGCCTCGTAAATTCATTTTCCTTTCTTTTTTTATCTCTTTATGGTGCTAAGGGATAAATCCCATAAGCATGCTGGGCAGGTGCGTTACCACTGAACTAGGTCTTAAGACCACCAATTCACATATGAGAAGGAAGCTGTCCCTTGGCCTAACCTCTTTGAGTCTTATTAAAGACTTGCCCACGTGTTCTACAGGGACAAAGACTCAATACAATAGCAGGAAATAACAGTTAGAAATCGACCAAAAAGTCTACAGGAATTGTTCCATTTCATCTTCTATAATCTTAGAGAATAAGGGCAGAAAAGAAAAAGATAAAGCAATTTTCCCAGAGGTCAGGTAATGATATTTGGATCTTAGGCCCTCTGTGCTGAAGCCTATGGTCTGAATCACCGTGGTAAACTATCTCTACCATCCAAGGCCTTCTTCCTAGAGATATTTTCCATCTAGTCTACATGATTCTCTTTGTTGTTCTCATCTTCCCTACAAATGATCACCCAAGTGTTAGTTCCCATCTGCTGTGTTATAACTAATTACTAATGAATTGCTAACTAGTTAGATGGGATCTGATCAGTGTCCCTGTGGTATTGTCATTTTAATAAGATATTTTATATCTTCTAATACTTTAAGACATATTCTAGGGCATGTCAGCAAGTCTGTACATGCATGTTGAGTATTTGAGTGGTATTTTTCATGAGAGACTGTTGTGATGTTACAGCTGCCCTGGACAACACCTGAAACTAAGAATGTCAGATTTGACATAGATTTGCTTACAAAGCTTTTGCTTTTTTTAATTTTGGTTGTTCTACAGAGAATACACCCATTTCCCAACCTCCTCGCCATGTTCTCCGGAGATTTCCTTCTGGTCTTTCTTGAGACTGTCATTCGCGTTCATTAGATAATTCCAACCCTAACTTTTGAAAGCACTAAGTTGCTTAGAGGTTGTCCGAAGGGTGTTTTGACAGAGCCAGATTTTTAGCTGGAACTAATACCACTCACCTCCTTCACAGGCTTTTCAATGTGGATATCCTGGAAGCTGGACATGTAGTCAACATTTCCATCTTGGTCTATGTGTACCAGGTGTGAACTCAGAGATCTCCATGGTAAGTTCAGCCCCAAAATGCTTTCCATAGAAAAAGCCCACTGCGCCAATGAAATCCTCCCTAACAGCAACAACAAAGGCCCATATGATTGGTACATAATTTGACAAAATAAAAGCGCAAGCTCCTTCACAGAGCTAGTGAAGCCTGGGGTTTTGAGGACTGAGGGCCCCCTGCTCTCCTCCATGATCTGTCTGACAAGGTTCTAGCACCTCAAGTAAAGAATAAGTAAAGAAAGTTTTTGTTTTGTAAATATTACTGTCACATGAAAGAAATTCTCCTTGTAGTCAGGTACTTGGGTGGCAGAGGCAGGTGGATCTCTGTGAGTTCAAGACCAGCCTGGTCTACAGGGAAAGTTCCAGGACAGCTGAGGCTGCACAGGGAAACTCTGTCTCAGAAAACAAAAACAAAAGCAAAACAAAAAGCAAAAAAACAAAAAGAAAAAGAAAAGAAAGCCCCTTTTCCCGTTATCTAATACATAAAGTAATATAGAAAATTTGAAAACACAGAAGAGAGACTTACTTTCATTTTTAATACTTTAGCATATCATTTACCTATTTTCTCAACTGTTTTTGATTTAATATTATACTGTAATTTTCTAAACCATAAATATTTTTATTTTTCTGATTATTGAAGATATATATTCATTTGAGGCAACTTTTTTGGGGGGATGAAACCTAGTATATACAACAAGCAAGCATTCTACCAAGCTATATTGCCAAACCTTGGCTTTTGAGACAGAATCTCAATATATAACTTAGGCTAGCCTTGAACTCACTATATAGCTCAGGCTAGCCTCAAATTTACAATCTTCCTTCCATCCTTTCTGACAGGTATGAGCCACCATGTCCAGCACTCAATGATTCAATGATTCTGAATAAACAATTTTATTATTTCTAGTGTTTTTCCTAATTATATAAATATTTTTATATATAAATACATGTATATATAGTTTCTCTTTAATTTTTAGACTTATTTTATGTATATGAATGTTTTGCCTGCATGTATGTCTGAGTACCATGTGTACGGTGCTCATACCTTGAATACAATATGTAGCTGAAGCTGTCGTTGAATTCTTTATCCTCCTGCCTCCACCTCCCTAGTGCTAGAATTATAGGCATGAGCCACCACATTCGACACTTATTCTTAATTGTCTAAATGTTTTTACAAACCATAAAACCAGGTCACAGTATGGAGCTTAGTTGGTAGAGTGTTTGTCTAGCATGTACAGAGCCCTGGGTTCGATCCCCAGTACCATATAAATCGAGCATGGTGGCATAAATCTATAATCTCAGCACAGAAGAGGTGAAGGCAGGAAGATCCACAGTTCAGGTATTCATCCTCAGCTACACAGGGAGTTTGAGGCCAGATTGTTTTAGAGACCTTGTCTCAAAATTTTTAAATAAACTGGCCTGTAGTGGTGCACACCTTTAACCCCAGCACTTGAGAGACAGAGGCAGGTCGATCTCTGTGAGTTGAGGCCAGCCTGGTCTACTGATCTACAAAGTGAGTTCCAGGATTGTCAGGGCTACACACAGAGAAGCTCTGTCTCGAAAAACCTAAAAAATTAAATGAAATTAAATTAAACCATAAAACAGGGTTAAATATACCAAATAATTGTTTTTAAGTACATTATAGGATATCTTTATTAAAATAGTGAACTACACTGACTGGGTTTGGAAGGACAAAACAGTTGGAGCTCCTAGTATTCATCACAAAAGCCAAACTTGGCTGTGATATTCTAATATTTGACTATTTCATTTATCTTTTATATAAATTTATCAATAAGATCAGCCCTTAATTGTCCTTCTCCATATTCTTGTTAGGTTCAAGCCCAAAGGCTAGGTTGACCTCCTAAAATACTCTGTCCCTGTTCTCTAGAAAAGGGGATCAAAGTACTTTCTTGTTTTCCTAAATGCCTGCTGCCATGCTGAATGAAGCTGGTATAGAAACTTTCAAATTTTTCTGATTCAGTTTCTTTAACAGTTACAGTCATTAAGCCTTTCGGTTGATTTCTGTCTCTGTTTAGAATGTGTGTGTAGATGTATTTATTTTAGGACTTGTCCATTTGATATAAAGTTCTAATTCATTGCTAGATAAATTTTCATAATATATCTAATGATCTTAATGATTATAAATTCCATAATAGCATCTCTTTCTATCTTACTCTTGGTTATTTGTACTTGAATATGTATTCTCTAATTTGAGTGCTAGCTTGCTCCCCCCTCTCTGTTTTATCAAGTTTACCGGTTTCTTCAAAGAACTATTTTTTTATTAATTGATAACAGTTTCATCTTTTAAAATAGATGCATTCAAAGTGACCAATGTTTCTCTAATTTGTATTCTGTAAACTTGACATGTGAATTCACATTATCATTCAGCTTGAGTATTTTAATTTCTGCTATGATTTCTTCTTTGATCAAAGGACTATCCAGAAGTACATTTCTCATTTCCAAAAGTGTGTGTGTGTGTGTACATGTGTGTTTTGTTATATATCACAGGCTAGCATCAAAATAATGATTCCATTGCCTCTGTCTCGAGTGCTGACTGGGATTACAGGCGTGTGCCACCAAAAGGAATTTTTATGTAGCACTTGTCAGGGTATTTTCTTTGGTCTGTCTCTTTAGTTACTAAAGGAGGAATATTAAAATCTCCCACTATGATGGCAAATTTTTCTATTTCTGCTCATTGCTCTGTTGGTTTTGTTTCACATATTTTGAGGTTGTATCAGTAGGAATATAAACATGCAGAACAAATTCAAGTGGCAAATTAAATGTTTGCTATCATGAAGTGTCCCTTTTCATGTCTAGTAACATAGTAACATATATTTCCTCGGAATCTACTTTGTTTGCTATTAACAGAGTAGTTCCAGCTGTGTTTCTGTTAATGCTTTCATGCTATTTTTCTAAATATAACTTTCAATCTTTGTTTATATGATCCGCTATCTACTGACTTTTTTTTCTCAGTTGCTGATTAGTCTATCAGTCTAACTGCTGTGTCTTTTTAGCAATCTGTGTTTCCTCTCTGCCTGTATTTGAATGCCCTCTTCCCTATTGGTGCTCCGCATCATCTTCATTCCAAGTGAATGCGAGTGCGGATTTAATTTTATTTATCCTGGTTGAGAACCATTGTTCCTGTTTATCGCTAGGAATCTGTCACGGATCTGGACGAGTTGTTGGCATTATCATGTTAAATATAGTCTGCCTCCCTTACACTCTCTCTAGTCTTCCTTCCTGGTATCCTGATATACGGTAGACTTGGATCCCGACTATATGTTTTGTTCATTTTTGCTGTCCATAGTAATTTTTTGAGATGGGGTGTGAGTGACTAGGTAGATCAGGCTAGCCTTGGGGTTACTATGCAGTTTGGGTTAGCCTTGGAAGTTCCTAGCTCTCAATCTAATTCTTGATGCTAACCTTCTCTTTAACACATTCATTATGAACACTCTCTCACTCTCTTGGGTTTTGTTTTTGGTTTGAGGCCAGGTCCCATGTAGCCCAGCTGGCCTCAAATTCCTGACTTCCTGCCACCACCTGCCAACTGCTGGCATTACAGGTATGCAGCACCAGCGCTGTTTTCCTCTTTATTTTAATAAACATAGTGCTGTAAGTATTTGATTTGTCTTCAAATCATATTATATTTCAGATCTTTCAAACACATATCCGGGGTTCTCATCCGTGCCTTTCTTAGGCATTTTCTATTTTGTATTTGACAATTCCCACAGCTGGTTTCCTTGGGAGAAACTAGCTCTGTTGTTTGCTGGGCTTTGTTCCTGTCTCTCAGTCGGCACGGCTCACCTCATTTATTTAGTAGTCAGTCCTTAATTGCAAGCTCACACTAATTGATGCTAACCTCTGAATACACCAGTGACTACAATTAAGGATGTTCTCCTCAAAGATGCAGTTGGGGACATTATTTAGTCACTTTGAAGGCACACAAATCCAAAATTCATCTTTTCTCTCGACCGTGCTAGAATCTCATGTCAGGATGGTTGCTAGAGCAACATTAACCTTCATGCCAGGACAGTCTAGCCTTTGGTGCTTAATTGTTGCTTCATGCTTCCACACATGGTTCCAATCATCTTTTTGTTATGACTGTACATTTTTTTGAAAAGAATTTTCTTTATTAGATATCAGGTAATAATTACATTTACCATGATAATCCATTCATTTTCATCAACCTGACAAGTTTATTGAAATTTTCTTCTACAATAGATGTTAACTGTCATTATTGGATCTACAAATTATAATGCAAGTCTCTGTGAAGATTCTTGCTCAGTTTCCTTTATTTTTATTTATTTATTTATTAAAAATTTCCACCTCTTCCCCACCTCCCTTTTCCCTCCCCCTCCCCACCTCCCCCTCCCCACCTTCCCCTTCCCACCTCGCCCTCCCTCTCTAGTCTTAAGGGCAGTCAGGGTTCCCTGCGGGAGCCTGGTTTGTTTGGCTGTTCACCTTTAATGACTGTACTTTTTAAAGACAGAATCTCTCTGTGTAGCCCAAGCTGACATCATACTCATAATTCTCCTGCCTTAGCCTCAGTCTGGGAATTTCAGGCATATGCCTCTATACCAGGCTCAAATAATTGTTCAAAAGAATGGCAGTCATGAGACTAAGATACTGGGAAGCTGACAAACAGATTATGATTCTGCATTCTCCAGAATCTGTTTCTTCACAGGCAACCAGAAGAGAAGTCATAATTCAGGGCTGTTAGTTTCTTAAATTCAAAGAAGCTTACTGAAAAGGAAATACATTCTGGTATTTTTTAGTGAATGGATTCTTTATTTTCTGTCATTCCTTTCTAGCAACAAAGAACTAAAATCCCATTAAAGAAAATCTGCTTTGTATATAGCCAGAATGTTAAGAAATGATAGATAAGTTATTACCTGATCTCCTATAGTCACGGAGCTGGAAAGCATTGATGAGATCAGTTTTTCGTGAAAGCATTCTTTCTTTCAATATCTTGAAGGCACTGAATTCCATAGCACTCACCCTGTGTTAAGAAAATAGCATTTCAGTGAAACTTAAATAAATCATTAACTTCTACTTAATTTTAATGTGCTGTTACCACATACCAGTTTCCACATTAAATAAATTGTCTGTTTATACATACTATATTGCTAGATAGTAAATGTAGCATATTTGTGTATGCATTTTGGAGATTTGTTAAACATTTGAAAAATTACTATTATTATTTGTATATTTTCCTTTTTCATTTCTTAGACATTTTACGTTTTGTATTTGACAACTTGATATGGTGAGGGGGTTGTGTGCAGTATATGTGTGCAGATCAGAAGACAATTTTGTGGAGCTGGTTCTCCCCTTATACCTTTATGTATGTTCCAGGGCTCGGACAGAAGGTACGAGGCTTGCACTGCAAGTGCTTTTATCTGCTGAGCCATCTTGATGACCTGAAAATTCTTTTTAAAACAGAGTTTAAACTAGCCTACAATCCAAAGTCCTCCTGCCTCTGACTCCTGTGTGCTGGGATTACATGCATACGCCATCATGCTCAGCCATTTTGTTCATTTCTTTTATTTGGCATTTTATTTACGATCCAGTTTCACATTCTCAGAGGGTCAACAATTATAACAGCCACAAGAAGTGTTTTCTTGTTTCTTTTTTTTTTTAAAAAAAAGATTACAGATAGAGTTTTCCAGAATTTGAAAGATTCATGTGAATATTGAATAATTATGCTGGGCAGTGGTGGTGCACACCTTTAATCCCAGCAACCGGGAGGCAGAGGCAGGTGGATCTCTGTGAGTTCGAGGCCAGCCTGGTCTACAGAGTGAGTTCCAGGACAGGCTCCAAAGCCACAGAGAAACCCTGTCTCGAAAAACCAAAATAAATAAATAAATAATTATTTGATAAAAGGAACTTGTTATATGAGATACAAAAGATTTTTAAATTGTTTTAATTGAGCTATATATTTTTCTCTACTCCTCTCCCTTCCTCCCCCTTCCTCTTCTACCTTCTTCCATAGTTCCCATGCTCCCAATTTACTCAGGAGATCTTGTCTTTTTCTACTTCCTATGAAGATTAGATCCATAGAGATACTAAAATTTACCATTACATTAGTGCCGTGGAATAATCTTTTTGTATATTGAGAATATTTGTTGATCGCATTCATCTAATAAAGGGCTGAATGGCCAATAGCTCGGCGGGTAGAGGTTAGGCGGAACTTACGAACAAAAAGAGAGCACGGGGAAGAAGGAGGTTTGAGTTGCCAGGAGACAAGGAGAGAAGATGAACATGCCATATTAAAAAAAAAGGTACTGCCACATGGTAGAGCATAGATAAGAAATATGGGTTAATTTAAGTTGTAAGAGCTAGCTAGCAACAAGCCTTGGCTATTGGATGAGCATTTATAATTAATATTAAGTCTCTGTGCATTTATTGGGAAACTGTCAGTCCTGACAGAAAAACTCTGCCATTCTGACTGTGATAAAAGAAAATATGTACATGAGTAGAACATAACAGGAACTTTGAAAAATAGATCCAACTATTATAAAAACATATATGGCAAGAGAGGTAGAACAATTTTGTAGAAAAGAAAATCTTTTGATCGATGCTAGAACACTTAGTTAACTACCTCAACATAAACTTCTACCTCAATCCTTTATAAAAAAAATGAGTTTGAAGGAGGAACAGAGGAACAGAAGAGTCCTGAGATACAGACGTCTTCTGTGTTCACAGAGTGTAGATTCTAAGAGACAAAATGGATTTTAAAAATCTAAAGCTTGGTGTGTGGAGGGAATGGGGAGAGGGGAGGGAGTGGGAATTTGGACTGGCCTTTTTTTAAAAACAATCTAATAAATTAAATTAAAATAAAAAAGAATAAAAGAGAAATGAAAAAAATCTAGGGTTTTTCTCTAGTACAGTCAGGGTTACAAAGAGAAACCCTGACTCAACAAACAAACAAAAAGATTTTCAGAAACTGAATGATCCTAATTTTGTCATGTGGTCATTGCTGGGTTTATCATCTAGGTTTTATGAAGAAAGTGATCTGGTTTCATTGTGACTTTTGCTCTTAGGGAAGCAAAGGAGACTCCCCATGTTTTGATGAGTTTGCTTCTTTCCTAACTTAAAGGCATGTTGAGGGGCTCCACTCCCAGTTCCTGGGTCACAGTGAACTAACCCCTAAGTTGGAACACTGGAATCTGTCATTTGCAAACAATGCTGATACCATTTAGAAAGATGTGCACTACCTAAATTCTGTCTCTTAAGGAAAGCTATCCACCTGTGTATGGAAAGACCCCTTGACACAACAGTTCTGGTTTGATAGTCATTTGTTTAAGCATGTGTGCAAGGTGGATCCTGGCTGAGTCAACACTGCACTGTGGATATGTATCTGTGTTTACATACAATTAGACAGAAGGCATTGTACATAGGAGTGTTGCTCTCAAGCAATATTTGCAAAATATGCAAACTTCTGTATCTGGAAGCAATAATACAGGTTCTTGTTGCTATGTGTCAGTCACATAAAAAAATCTAAGGCTTCTCAATTTCCTTAAATAAACTGATACCATATTTACATATAATTGATATACAACTTCTTATATACCTTAATTTATAGAGTATAATTCTTCATTTAATATAAATAGTTGGTGTATTATATTATTTGGGGATATGATAACAAAAATGTCTGTACATTTACAGAACTGATTTTTTTTCAACTGTCTGAAATTTATTAAATTATAAAAGTTTCCATTTCCGCCCCTCCTCCCAACACCCTCCCACTCCCCCCACTTCCCCTCCTCCTCCCTCTCCATCCCTAAGAGCAGTCAGGGTTTCCTGCCCTGTGGGAAGTTCAAGTTCCTCCCGCCTCCCTCCAGGTCTAGGAAGGTGAGTATCCAAACAGACTGGATCCCAAAAATCCAGTATATGCAGAGGAAACAAGTCCCAGTGTCATTGTCAATGGCTTTTCAGAAAGACTCCGGGCCAGCCACATTCAGAGAATCCGGCCACATTCAGAGAATCTGGTTGGATCACGTGCTCGTTCAGTCCCAGTCCAACTGGCCTTGGTGAACTCTCATTAGATCAGTCCCCGTGATATGATAACAAAAAATGTCTGTACATTTACAGAATTGATTTTTTTTTAAAAAAAAAATATTTTCAAGAGCCAGGCTCACCCTTATCACCCAGAACTTGAGTTCAGTTTATCCCAGACACTTTCCCCTCAATCTTGAGCATTGCTTCTGGGCCACAGAATCCATCCAGGTGAGAGACATCACTTGTACTTTAAAACAGTCTAAGTGACTTCTACGTCATCTTTGGGCCTGGCCAGTCCTGACTCCGATAAGCATTATGTTTAGCTCAGTCATTCTCTCTAGACCCTAAATCTTGAGCACTGCTTATGAGTCAACAGTACCCATCTTTTTGAGAGGAGCCAAATGTACTTTGTAAAGAATTTCAGTGTAAACATGTCTTAAGTTTGTTATGCTCATGGGCCTGAGTTAATTGTCATTAGAAAACTATTTCTCTAAAATTGTGTTGTGCTTAAATATAGCTAAAATAAACAAACTGATGTCAGACTCTGGAAAAAAATATTTTCAATGTGGAACCCACTAATACAAAGTGTAGGCTATGTATCAAAAAGACAAAATGACAGATGCAAATATGAATAATAATAGCATATGTAAGTAAATTAAGTAAACAACTAAAAAGACAGGGATCATGAGACTCAAATGAGGCTTCAAAATGAAGACTGGCATGCTAATAGGAGACAAAATAGACATTAGATAAAAAGTGTAGCTAGAAACTGTAACTGAAATCTAGAGATGGGGGGGATTCTTAATGATAGAAGATAATGAACCTAACAGCAAAAGCCAAAACTACATGAAGCACAAACTAAAAGAATTAAAGAAACAGATAACTCAATAACGAAGGCTAGAAACTTCACTGGCAAAGCTGCTCCTAGTCACTCAGGATTGGTTCCACTTTGTCACAAATACAGTCCTTAGTATTTTTAGGGCTATCTACCTTTGGTGAAGAGGACTCAAGCATGATGAACTAGTTACTTGGTACTGGAAAAATTGCGGAGATGTACCATAACTTAGTCTGATGTAAGCTCCTCGGTTGCTGCCTTCTTCGTAATAATTAGAAGCAGAAAATAAAGTAATGACCTGATTAAAGAAAAAGAGGATCAAGTTCATTAAGTTAATTCTCAAAAGGTCATTCAATAAAAGCCAGAAATAGCTCAATTCTCAAAAAAAAACCCTCATAATCTCTGCAAATTATCTGGGCCTGACATGATTTCATATTTCTTTTCCCTTGAAGGAAAAGTCTCCAGTCAGTGTCTCCATTACTAACTCCTAGCTTTTCGTCCAATGCCCCAGGTATGGCCCTGAGCTCCTACACACTATTCTAGTGCCAGATCTGAGAATTATCTTTAATGTTTAGTTTCATAAATTCTAATTTTCAACAGAGATAAATTCCATATTTTCTTACCTTGTGATATCTGTGGGTTCAAAATAAAATTTGGTTAGAAGCTCATGTTTTTTCTTTTGCACAAAGCTGAGTGATTTAGAAGGTTCAGAGCTGTATGAAACCAGTGTTTTAAGAACAGAGACATAATGGGACTATGGCTACTACCTTAGGAAGAAGTCAGCCTGGGAGGCATGGTAGGTAGATTATAGAAAGATAATACTTGCTGGTGACAGGAAACTGAGTTTAATCCAGTACTGGTCTAATAAGGATGTCATTTCAGATGAACCACTGCTATTTTCTAATTACAAATACACTCTAAATAATACTTTGCTTATTTATCTTGTGGTAATATGAGCCAAAAATGAATTAATAGAGGCAAGAAATCAGAGTATCAGAGTAGAAGGAGATGCCACAGGATTCCATATTCATTGTTACTTACTTCTATTCACGATAGAGAAAAAAAAAGAACCATCCTAGGACAGCTGAGGATAAGAACCAGTTTCTTAGTCCTCACCTCTTCTAGCATTATTGAGATAATTGGAGAACAAGACACTCCATTTTGATGGCAGTAGTTAAACTGACCACAGCAAGCAACTTGCTAGTGATCACCTCCTCAATGAGCTGAAAGAAACGTGCTGTGTGTTTTCTGTCCTATCCAGGGAATGTGCAAAAGAAGAGCAGAAACGGGATTGGATATGCTTTTGTAAGGAGAAGTGCAGTCTGTGAGAACTACACTGTGTATTGTGAGAACTGGCTTACAATTAGTAAAAAATGATGTATGTGTGAATGTGTGTGTCAGAGAGAGCGAGAAAGAGGGAGGGAGAGGAAGAGAGAATACTTAGTGTCACTGTTATGGTTTAAAGTGATGTATTTGGGTATTGGGTTGGAAAGAGGTACAATTGTGATGTACACTTGTGATGGTTCATTTCATCTGTCAACTAGATCACATTCCTGAGCAGAGCACACTTCTGGGTGTGTCTCTGAGGACATTTCCAGAAAAGATTAATTGAGGGAGGAAGATTTCGCCTGAATGTGGATGGATGGCACCACCACTTATTATGGCGGGTTCTGGACAGAACACAAAGGGGATAAGGGAGAAAAGGAAGACTTCTGCCTTTAATCCCAGCACTCAGGAGGCAGAAGCAGACAGATGTCGGTGAGTTCTAGGCCAGCCTAATCTACAGAACAAGTTCCAGGACAGCCAGGGCTTCATAGAGACCCCCTGTCTCAAAAAAAAAAAAAGGTGTAAGGAGAATGTCGGCTGAGCATCAACATCTCTCTCTACTTCGTGGTCACCTGAGATGTTGTGACAAGTGGCCTACCACCATGTCTTCTCCATCATGTGACTGTTCTCTCGAACTGTGAGTCAAAATAAAGCCTTCCTTAATCTGCTTCTTGTCACTTGGTTATAATAATGAGAAGACTAATTTCTACATTCACACATCAGAATTTCTGCTTCTGGGAGTAGTGAAGATGGAGGAAGAAGTCAAATATTTCTAAGGATAAGGAAGCGTGAGGCCCCTTCAGTCTCTATTTTCTGTTCGGAAGTAGTGAAGGCATTGCTTGGCCTTTTAGGTAGGACAATACAGTGTGGAGAAGACCAGGCTGTGGCAAGGATGGCTATGAGGACTTCAGTCATGATGCCAGCTCACCTTTCCATCGTGACAGATTTCATACCCGTCGGGTTTACACTCATGAGACCTAATGAGCATTTTCAACTGGTTTTTGTTAAGAATCTTGGAAGTAACGTCTGGTCCAAAATAGCAGCCCCCTCCTCGGCTTGTATTTGGATAACAGCCTTTTCTGCCTCTGGGGTCACTCCACAGAAGGTCAATAATCTTGGAAGAATAAAATAAATTAGGGTTATATTTACAAGGAACAGTCTATCGTCTTTTTTCTCTCCCATCTTATTTAGCAGAAATATTAAAGGTAACTGGTGTTACAGGCATGAACTACCATGCCTGACTAAATTCAGAAGAGAAAGTAGTGCCTTCCAATGACCACGTTTTAGGTATTCTTAACACTGACTCAGGTTTTGGACCTGTTGTACACATTAAGGAAATCTAATAAGTGTTTATTGGAAGGAACTACTTTCTCTTCTGAATTTAGTTGGGCATGGTGGTTCATGTTTCCCCAAGAAGATCCCCCAAAGCTTCTTTGATCTTTGGCCTCCATAAGCCCATTTTCCAATTCAGCAGTAGGTTCACCTATTGACTGGATTCCAGCAGGTGTTCTAAACCCACAATGATTTTTTTCAGCTTAATATTTCCTTTGGTGGCTGGAAGAAGCAAATGCAGGTCACACAATACCCAGGACTGAAGACTTAAATTTCTAAGAACATTTTCACAGAAAATCAGAGGTTGTAGCGTCTCTGATCTGCATTTACTATTTGACTCAATTTTTAAAACTACTATTGTAATAAGAGCTTAAGAAAGAGTGGTTTTAAAAAAAACTCGCAAACCTCTTTATCACTAAAGGGTGACAACCTTGAGAAATCCGTTTATCCCTCTACCAGGCATTTGGGTCAACTAACCTGCAGAGTATGTCAGGGTTCTAATAGACAATGATTCTAAAAGTCTACTAGTTCCCATAGTTTTCTCTGTTGTTCCTACGTGTGCAGAGAATTGAAGCCAGCACCTCATGTAGGCTAGGCCAATATAATCCTTCTGAGCCACACCCCAGCCCCTCCACATCTGCATGTCTCTTTGGAGAAAAAAACACACAACTGGAATTTTTATGTGTGTAGAAGCCAGGTCTACATCAGGTGTCTTCCTCAACTACTCTCCTCTCTCACTAAACCCACAGCTTAACAATTTAGTTAGACTGACTGGCCAACCAGCCCCAGAGAGCCACCTGCCTTTGCCTCCCCAGTGCTGGGATTGCAGTGGGTGCTGCCACAACCAACTTTCCTGTCAGTTCTGGGGATATGAAGTTAGGACATCATGGCTGTACACCAAGCTGAGCCATCTTGTGAGGTCCCTTCAATAGAAAATCTCTAGTTATCTAGTAAGTTTAAAGCAGGTTTTGAGAAGAGGTTCAGACACTGCTGCTGCCCTAAATTGGACTCTGTAATCATTTATGGGCTTGATATAAAGGGAGACCTGGAGATAAATGAGAGAGAAGACAGAGTGGCAGAAAGAAGAGCAGAAGGGGAAGAAGCATTCTGGAAGGATCAGTACCTGGTCAGCATTAGAGCCACTCTGTACCAGGCTCAGATCAGACAGCGAGTATTTGATGACTAGTTGAGGTGAGAATTAAAATCTCCCAAAGAAGAATCACCCCAAGGGCCTTCTTCCTTCTCACTGAATTCCAATATTGGCACAAGCGTACCCTACACACACATAAATATAATGTAACACCTTTAAGTTCTAGTGCTTGTGACAAAAAAAAACACTTGTATTTCAAACTGAATCATATCTGGCTCCTGTAGAATGAATTCGCATTTTGTGTGTGTGACTTGACTTGCAGTATAATAAAAGAGGAAACATGGAAGATAAGGGGCCATATTCTATTAGGAAAGGATTAAGCTTTCAATTCCTACATGAGCATAGAGTTTAAAGGTAAAATTTCATCTGGAAAGCATCCTAACTTACCCTTGAAGTACAGCATACATTATTTTATGTACATAACCCTATATAGGAATATATAGAAGAAAATATTTCACATATATGATAATGGATGAGCAGTCCATTATAAAGTGTATGAAAGTAAATTCTCACAGAATCTTTCTTCTTCCTTTTTACCACTACTATGAATACTCAAAATTGACATAAAGTAAATGTACATATGAGGGGAACATGATGGCACATGCTTTAGGGAGGCAGAGGCAGGAGGATTACAAATCCCAGGCCACCTGGGCTATGCATCAAGTCCCTGTCTCAAAAAACTAAAGACTAGCATATATAGTGTATTATTAGAGTGCTTTCTTAGCCTACAGAAAGCTTGTGTTCAATCTCTAGCACTATAAAAAATACAAATAACATCATATGGACTGAACAGGATGTATGCATTATTTAGGTCATAGATAGATAAATATAGATACATGCAACAACAATTAAAGCAGTGGTTCTCAACCTGGGGGTCATGACTCCTTTGGAGGGTTGAACAACCCTTTCACAGAGGTCTCGTAAGACCATTAGAAAAGACAGATATTTACATTATGGTTCTTAACAACGGCAAAATTTACAAAGTAAAAGCAAATTATGAAGTAGCAATGAAAATAATTTTATGGTTGGGGATTAGCAAAACATGAGGAACTATATTAAAGGGGTACAGTATTAGGAAGGTTGAGAACCACTGAATTAAAGGAAAAGAGGCCATGAATTTAAATGAAAGCAATGAATCCATGGGAGGAGTTTGAGGGAAGAAAGGGAAGAGGAAGATGATGTTATTATAATATTAAAAAAATAAATCATTTAAAAATACATATTGCTGGAACTCTATCGAGCCAGAATAAGTACTAGTCAAATGGCTTCTTCAGTAATTATTTATGTTACCATAGGTGAATTGCTTTACCTAGTTTCGTGTTGTCATTACCAACAAAACAAAGAAGTATCTAGTATTCATTTTTTAATGAACTTAAAATCACAAGGGCTAACCGTTTTAAGAAATGAGTTTCTCTTTCAGAATAAATTCCATAAGTTCTAGATTCCTTTTTTGAGTCTTGAAATAAACTTGGTTATATGCAAAATATAGAGATGGATTTAGAGAAGATGGGTGATCCATCGTGCTTACAGAGGTGAAGTCATTTTAACCTGCATTTCGGAAGGGACAACATCATCACAAGCGGATGTTACCACTCTGGTGAATGTTTCAGTTACCTACTTGTTCCCATTCATGCTTTGTTAGCTGTTCCGTAGAGGACCATTCTGATTCAGCCTTCCCAGGGGCGCTGGTGCTCGAATCTGCTTTATTTTTTAAGTCAGTGGCATGTTCTCGATTGATTGACATCGGTGGCATCAACACAGATCTCATCTGTAAAACATAGAATCATGCTTTAGTTAAATGCTGTATGCAGGCACTTTGGTTATTGTTAGAAATCTGTCTGTACTGTGTACACTCAACTCTGAAAAAGTACAGCCCCCCTTTCATCTCACTCGCCTCATACTCACTGTTAATTTACTAATGTCTCTAAGGTGGGCCTATTAAAATATGTTATGTATTTTGCAACTAAAGATGTTACCTTATGGGGAAAGATTCGCATCAGAAATTCTAAGAGAGCCCAGAGGCCCGCGTGTAGGTGCTAGACATTTTGCATGGCACTGTAGAAGGAAATTGAAGATGCTAAATATAGGAGAGACTGGCCTCCTTCTGCACCTTTCTCTACACCTGGGGCTTTCAGGAGTTCGGAAACAGATATTTTGTTTGTTTGTTTTTTGAGACAGGGTTTCTCTGTGTAGCCCTGACTGTCCTGGAACTCACTCTGCAGACCAGGCTGGTCTCAAACTCACAGAAATCCACCTGCCTCTCCCTCCTGAGTGCTGGGATTAAAGGCGTGTGCTACCACGCCTGGCTCAGAAACATCTTTAAAAAGGGGGTATGCTTTTGGTTTGCTTGTTGTATTTTCCCAGATAAAAAACCCATATCCATGTCCATGAAAGTTCTCACAGGGGACACAGGTTGAAAACTTGGAAGCTCTTCAACCTAAATTCAGTATAGTTCTTAGCCAGACCTGTCAGCAACTGATCATGTTGTCTAAGCCTAGTTGTAGACCTGTTTCTTTGCAAAGGAAAGCTTGGCAGTGGTGGCACACGCCTTTAATCACAGCACTTGGGAGGCAAAGGCAGACGGATCTCTTGAGAGTTTGAGGTCAGCCTGGTCTACAAAGTGAATTCCAGGACAACTCTGGCTACACAGAAAAACCCTGTCTTGGAAAACCAAAGAAGAAACCAAAAAGAAAATAGTTTAAAAATACGACATGATAAGCCCACTTGACTGCCTTATATAATCTGAGATTGGAATTTTGTTCTTGTCTCCTCCAAGCATTATACTTTCATTCAAAGCAATTAAACGGCTTATACTTATTTGTGTGTGTGTGTGTGTGAGAGAGAGAGAGAGAGGGGGGGGAGAGAGGGAGGGAGGGAGAGAGAGAGAGAGAGAGAGAGAGAGAGAGAGAGAGAGAGAGAGAGGGCCACACTCCACAGCACATAATGGAGGTCAGAAGACAGCTGGTAGGGATTGGTTCTCTCCTTCCACCAAGTAAATTCCAGGGACAGAGCTCAGGTTGTTAGGCTTGGGAACAAGCGTCTTTACCTACCAGAGCTGTTTCCATTTCACTGGGCCACAGATGCTTTTTATAATACTTTAATAAAGCTTTAAATATTACTTTTATTACATTGGTGGCTGCAGTTTAGTGATGGACATCTCTGTGGCAGATTCTTAGCTTTTCCAATAAACCATGGTACCAAATTCTGTTTTTATGTTTCCAAACTAAAACTAAGTCTTATTCTATAGTGTCCTCATAAAGCTGGTTAGAAACTCAATCTTAGCTACTAATCACTAGTTCATAGCCTACATTTTCTTCCCCAAGCAAATGATCTTAGGTGTTAGGCAGAACAGAATATTCTGGGAAGACCTTCCAGGATTACGTCCACATAATTTATTTCTGATCGGCTCATTAGGCATGACCTCATGGCCACTTCAGAGCATGGAGCTCTGCAGTTTTCAAAGCTATTTAGGATCGAGATGCTTTCCTTAGCCCACCATAGGCACCATCTTCTCTTGGGAGTCCTACTAACTACCCTTCTCTATACTCCTGTTTGGGAATTTGAAGACTATGAAACCAGAGCCTTTGTTTTATGAATCTTATTTCTCAGCATTGACTCCTATTATGTTCACCTTACAAAATGCCTTTAATGACTGTAGAGTGGAGGCAGCCGTCAGGCTAAATCACCTAGAGCTTTTATTCTGTATTTTTGATACTTTGATATCTTGAGGCCTTGCCCGTGGTGAAGACTGCCCCCCTCGGGGCATCACCATAGACCAGGGAAAGAAGTTCTAAGAAAATTCCTATCTATTTTTATTTTGCCCTGCTTTGGTCTTAAATTTCTAAAGAAGTATTCAACAAATAAGACATATTTATTACATCTCAGGTACTGGGGTTTTGGCAGAGATTGGAGAAGCATAAGAATATAGTAAGAAAATAGTATTACCATTCCCTACTTAAATTTGGTAACTTATGAAAGATATGCACAAAGTCTTGAGAGTGCATAAAGAGGAGCTATCTAGCCTAGAGGTTACAGTGAAAAGTTAACGAGAAGATGGCAATATTATCATTCACATGTGTGCAAAAGTATGGAGGGTCCCAAACCTCAAGGTACAACTGAGATCACATTTCTGTCTCTATCAAATCAAGTACCAGCTTCAGACTCCACCTTCCCAGAATGACTGGATAGTTACTATTGGTCTGTAAAGACAGTGGCTAAAGTTGCCCACTTGGACCACATACCACCCTCTGTTCTATAGCTGCTACTGGTCTTCATGCCCACCTAGCCCCTTGTTTACTTCTAGGCTTGGGGCTTCAGTTTGCCTTTGGTAAAGGAGGAAAATAGCTCCAGTTGTGTGTAAGGTACAGCCCAGCAACCCTTTAGTAGGTGTGGAATCCTACAGCTAGCACAGAGCCAGTTCCCTGAGAGGGTCTATACAGGCTCCTGTCCTGGCTGTGTTGTATCGAGTGACTATTTAGAGTTAAAATAATCTGAAGATAGTTTCTCTGCTCAGTTGAAATAAAGGGACAGGATAGTAATTCAGAAATAAATTCTGTATGAGTCTCCTTATATGAGTTACGTAGAGCTCATACAAGAAATATTGGCCATCAGGGCTAGAAGGAGAGGGAAGGAGCCATTACTGTTTTATGGGCACGGTTTCAGTCAAGGAAATTCTGTGAATGGATGGAGGTCACAGCAGTGACAGTAGGACAACAGGAATGCACTCGGTGCCAAGGAAGTTTATACTTACAAGACAACAGTGCTCAATTTCAGTGTAAGTGAATTCATGTAAACTTTACTTCTTAAACCTCACTTTTAGAAACTATCTGGTGTGCTAATGCATCCCAACTTTCTATTTTCAACAGGATTCCTTTTTGAAAATGCATGGTATACAGAAAAACCACCTAGTATCAGGCACACAGTCATAGCTTTTCTTCAGACTTTTACTAATTTTCTCATCTATACTACCATCAAAGCACATAACTCTTTAAAATGACGGATGAAAAGAAGCATATTCCATTATAAATGCCTGATCCATGCACATAGTACTTCTTACTTTATTTCTCTGTATGTGGTGGAGTGTATTCAAGTCTGTAGACTCTGATATCCCACCATGTATGACCAGGATTTCATCGTCAATAATTGTGCCAATTGGGAGCCAGGTATAGACTTCTTCCAGGACTTGCAAGATTTTTCTTCCATGTAGCTGTAAATAAGAGCCTGAGTAAGTTTTATTTTCCTGATATGTTTAGTTAAGTGAATAGTCTCAATATGTAGACAAAAACCAAGTTTTTCATATCAGCCAAAGAAAACTGTCAGGGAGCTGTGAATCAACTAGCAAGTATTTAGCATGGGACGTTTCCATCCTGTATTGCTGATACTTTGACATTTTTGGGTCTTCCTCGGGGAGGAGACTGCCCATGTCAGATCTAATCCCTAGAGATCCTACATGACAGTTCTCGTGTACAAACCAGCCATTTCAGATCCCACACTAAGGAATTCTTTTCCTGAACTCTAACTCATGGCCATTTCTCTGGTGTGCTAACCAATCAACCCAGAGCAAGATAGTAGATAACTACCGACGACCCTCATGCCCCACAGCTGAGGGGCTTTGCCCTTTCTCTCTCATGAAGCCTAATAAATGTTCTCATCTGTATTTTCTTCTGGCTCCATCTGTGCCTCTCTCTCTCTCTCTCTCTCTCTCTCTCTCTCTCTCTCTCTCTCTC